ATATTCCAACTGTAATAAATTACATTCAGACATTTTTTAACACCAAGACCTGTCACTTTGTGGTACAGACTCCACCATGTTTGCTTTCTTGAACCCAACAATCCTAACGTCTTCAAATCTGTCTATTCCAATAATCTACTAGTCTGACGATAAACTACATCTGGCAGCAAGATATATGATAGGGTGATTCGAGGTTCTAAGGAGTATAGTAGCATCTTTTAATTGCTGTTATTGACAGGACCACCTTGACCCTGGCTGTTATCTTCTGTTAGGGTCCCAGTTCTGGGCAAATAGAGAACACCTAAACACTACAAAAGTATAGTTGTTTTTTTTTTCGTTTTTTTTTTATGAGGGAAATACTAGCAATACATTTTTATAGTGAACTGACCAACAATACATTTTAAATCAAAATAACCTGCGATAAATTTTATACCAAAATAACAATGGAACTTTAAAAAGTATAAAAATACATTTTTATAGTAAAATTACCATTATTAAATTTTTATAAAAAATATTACCAATAATCTATTTTATGATCTACTAACTATAAACATATGTTTACCTTGAAAGTATTGTGTGTAAGTTGTGTGCAATATGTCTATATCTGAAGCCATATAATTGCGTTTAAGGTATTTAGATTTCGACTTTTAAACGATACATTGCGGTTGATGAGCCGCTAAACAAAATCGACCAAGCAAATAATAATTTTCACTTTCTACCACCTCTTCCATTCATATCACACCGCTTATTGAGAGGGAATTTTAGCTTGAGTATCTCTTGAGACTTGTATCGGATGAACTTTAGTATATAAAAAATCGGTTTCATTTGAATGCGAAACCAGTTTTACAAGGATTAGCTTTTTGAAAACTTGAAAGACGGAATGCAGGATCTTTAAAGCCAATAGTATTCCTTAAAACTTTCGAGCAGAATAAAAATTATACTGGCGTAAGAGACATTAGATAGTGATCGGAGAGAGGAGACACGATTTTTCGCCATCGACTGCAACACGAATTGATGCCGTGTTTTGTAACAAAAAATTGTCATAACAGAAAAAAAAAAACAAATACCGACTTCAAATAATCTTCAATCTTTCATTCATCTTCTAACATCTGGCCATATGGCGAAACACTGTAAGTTTAGTTAAAGTCTATAATTAGCTGTATATTCATCGGGAAAATGATGTGTAGATTAATTAGAAAATTGCTTTAAAATATTCCAGCCTATTTATTGTATGTTTCTTCATATTATCATCGTCGGTTTCAACACAACATGGTCGCACAGATAAAATCTATCAATAATTAGCGTGACGTGCCTGTGATAACTTCCTTTCTCTTTTCCATCAGGATATTGCTAGAAACCAAATTACTGGACCAGAGGAGAACATTTTTATCATCAAATAAAAAAAATACAACATAAAAGGCCCCAGAGAACCTTTTTTTCCAAATCATTCCGTAATTAACCAATAAAATAGTCAATCTACTTTTACGACCAAATAACTGAAATTAGGAGATGTGTTTGACGCTCGGATCAAGGGAAGTAACTCGATCAATATTAAAACTTTTACCACAAACAATTGAAAACAAGCACACAGTAATATCATATTAAGCATTTAAAACTGGGTTTAATTTACATAAGATTTACTATGGATTTCATGGAAATGCTGAACAGAAACAGAGTTAGCAATGAAATAAAAATTTAACTTATTAAATACAAACTTATTTTTCTCACCGTAAAGTATTTTTAAATGCACATTTCCTATAACGCAGGAAAAAAAGTTCTATCAATATTTGAAAGAATGATAACAGCTACTGGGTGAGAAACCTGTTTACATGAAGACGACAACTGTTAATCATCTAAGTGATCCTTTTCTGCTTTCCATCAGCATGACTGATGTTAACCTCCAGGAAAATGACTCGTCAAGCCTTCTCGGGTTAACATTCTTGAAGTGGACATACTATATAGAATCCATTGCTAGGTCACCTGCTAAAAAGCTGGTTCAATGTGTCACGCTAGACAAATTTTCACTCCAGAATCTGCCTTGCAGGCACGTGTCATATGCATTAAACCCGCAGATATTTATGTGTTCGTAAGTTTGTAAATATTCTTATATGTCAAACTGGATATAGGATGGTAATATGCATTCGTAATTGTGTATGTGTGTCTGTCTAGTGGGAGAACTGACCCAAAAATAATTAAAAATACCAGTGTTTCTCTATTTTCGTATGTTTTCTCCCAATATCTGACGTATTTTCTTTATTTTATCATATATATATATATATATATATATATATTTATAATGTATTCATATATATATATATATATATATATATATGTGTGTGTGTGTGTGTGTGTGTGTGCGTGCATGCGTGTATTTAAGCAGCAAATTCTCTTTAAGGCATGTCTGATTAAATACATTACAATGTCTGATTAAATACATTAAAATGTTTGCTTATTTTTTATCATATTCCTTTCATATTCACGAATATTTTTCTTTATATTATAATTGAATAAGGCAAGACATTCACTGTATAGTGAGAATCACTTTCATTTCCCATAAAACTAAAAGTGATTCTCACAGTTACACTGCATTCCTTGCCTTATTTAATTGTAATATACGTAAAAATATTCGTGAATATGAAAGGATTATGATAAAAATAACCAGACATAATGTTTGTAATATATATATATATATATATATATATATATATATATATATATATATATACTACAATCTAAAAAGCCGAATAATGGCATCCTACCCTCTTTAGAAAGAAGACATTGTTCTACGTAACATATACATTCACACGTCTTACCTCTTAAAATTAGACCAACTATTCTACGTAAGTTTCCATCCTACACCATTTTACAACCATTATGGTAACATTTGTACACAGAGGTACGCCGTACCTATGATTTGGTCTTGAACCGACTCTATCTAATTTTCACGTATGCATCATGTGAAAAACAGTATTCAATAATTCCACCAAAACCCCATATACGCACACTATATCGATGACATATTCATATATTAGCAAAGAGCTCAGAATAATTTAAAAAACTGAAAGAAACCTTTGAGAATAACTCTGTCCTTCACCTTAGTTACGAACTCAATATTAACAATAAAATCTCTTTCCTTGACGCAGTAGTCGATGCCAATAGCCATAATTTCCCACATGCCTTTACAAAAAAGTGACACTAGCTGAAACTTGTGTTTACTCAACTGCAAAAGTGTGTGTCTAGATAAAATATAGTTGTTATAAAAAACATGATTTTTCAAGCCAAAGTAATCTCTTCGTCGGGCAGATTATCCTATAAGTAATTTAGCAACATAAAACAAACCCTAATCAACAGCATTTTCCCTAACCACGTCGTAGAAGAACAAATAAAATTAGCCTTAATTTAGAAAAAAATAACGCCAGACATCCTTACGCTAAGAAAAATAAAGACATTAGCTTATTTCATTTTAACCATGAACAAGCAATTAAAAACATAATTGACCCGTACATATCACTCAATGATACTAACAAACAGCTAAGATTTATTATCTACTACAATAAATTTAGAACATCTAACTTCATTGTTACAAGCACTACAGGGTCTTATCAATCCAGTTATTTAGAAATAATGTTGTCTATGATTTGACATGACCCTTGGGAGATTGCATTGCCAACACTAATAAACAAAAAATAATATTAAATACTTACATTGAGAACGCGTGAATTAAAACTTCTCTGAGACTGACCTGTCACATGTCGAAACTTAATATTATTCTGGCACATATCAACCAACACATACTGAACGACGAAATTATAAATACCAACATCAGACAAATACCAGTAGTTAACACCAAAATACTCAATGAAAAGAAAGACTCAAAGCACTAGAAGCTATTATTATAAAAGATAGCAGTCGAAATTAGATAAAATGGCATTCACTGCATATCATTCACTACAGAAGAAGCTATCTGAAAGTGTATATGCTATAATTAATGTGCTCACATACTATATTATAATAATAAAAATATGAAATAAAAGAAAATAAAAAAATTAAATTAATAAATAAATCGCAATTTTGTGCAGCCTCGTTCCCAATAGCAGTTACATATGACGTCACGCTATGCCATTTCAACCGTCCAGCTTCCCAAAGAAAACCAGGATGCAAGCAAAAGAAGCCTATCACACAGACACCACAGCGGTTCTTGATAATGACTGCAAAAGTCGGAACTACTTGAACAAAAATAACAAAATATAAACTTGAGCCAATTCATCCACAACTCTGAACGCAATACTTTGCAATTGGAAAAATACAATAAATCATTAAACAAGCAGACCTTGTCGTTTTTTTTTTAATCCAGCTTATTTGCGTGTATATATATATATATATATATATATATGTGTGTGTGTGTGTGTGTGTGCGCGCGCGCAGGTATGTAGAAAATAGGAAAGAACGCGCTAGGTAAATATTCCAGGGTTCTTTAGTATTTTTGTTCTTATTTTTGAAAAAACAGTACTCCATACAGAAGTAGAGCTTAGATTATAATTATTTTTTTAAAATATGATTCCTTCGCTACATAAGAGTTCTCATGCTTCAAAAACGAGAGCCGAAACCATCTATATAATTATTAAAATTAAATTGAATTAAAGTAACAAGCCCTGTTTCATCCTCAAGCGAAATTTTAGGAACCTAAATATTCGCTTGAGGATGAAACAGGGCTTGATACTTTAAATATAGTTTTGAGTCATGCTTTATTGTTGATAAAAGAACTCAATATCCGGGAAAGAGCGTATGAATATATAAATGTGCTTGCGTTCGTCAGTACGTGCGTGCGTGCATGCATGCAGGTGTGTGCGTAGGTGGGCGTATGTGTGTGTGTGTGTGGATCAGTTGCAAGTCTCGTCGTTTCAGGCGGTCTTTTGTTTAAAATATATTCTCTATTCCGGCGCTCCATTTAAAATATATTCTCTATTTTCTCTTTTTTTCTTTTTTTTTTTTTTACGCAGGGTAAAAAGTTCCCCAGCGACCAAATGCCAGGGAGTAATTTGAAAATCCAATCTTTATCCTATGAAGATGGTGGCCAATATGAATGCATAGCCAACAACGGAATTGGTACTCCGGCGTCGGCGTCCGTCGACATCGAAGTCCATTGTGCGTAAACATATTCATACGTGCTTTCTATATAAATCCAAATGTGTGCGCTTGACTTTTAGAATCCAAAGAAATTCTGATAAAAAATAATATTATTCACTGTTCTATATGCCTATACTATTTCAAGCTTTACTTTCAAATCTTCCCTTCCAAACACAAAAGACAAACAAGCAAACTTTTGATACAAACATATTATTATTCAAAATAAATTTATTTTATATTTGATTTTCTCAATGCATTATGCACAAACAACATATATGGTCGTCTTCTCCGCGTCCTTTCAGGACGTGGATTATCATTGCACTGATCAACGCCTTACCTTTGTAACCCTTGACAATGTTAGAAAACCGAGTGGATAGCAAAAGACATTGTCAAGGGTTACAAAGGTAAGGCGTTGATCAGTGCAATGATAATCCACGTCCACGAGCTCAGAATGCATTTAATCTTTGTCCGACTTGCCCTCAAGATCTGGAGGCGGAAATGGTCTTTCTTTAAAGTGGGAATTGAACCTTGCTGGCTATCACGCTCTCTGTGTCCGACTGGTGTAAAGTGGATTCTCTTACAATAGTGGACACAGGTCAGAACCCTACTGGAGAGAACATTGTTTTCATTAAATCTCTTGAATGCGCAGATCAGTAAGCGGAATTCACACTTAAAATACACAGGGCTTCTACACAAACATCGATACCCCAAAAAATTACATTTGGAAAAGTAATATATATATATATATATATATATATATATATATATATATATATATAATAAGATGAAAACATAGTTTAAATATATGCTATATGTACGAGTAAAAATACTCCATATCAAGGATAAATCATATTTAAATATAAAAGTAGACACTTGTCAAAACAGAGCGCAGTCTTCGCAAATGGTCTGCGGTTTGCATTCAAATATGTAACAGACTGTCGCCATTTGGTGTAGACCTCATTGCACACGCGCGCACACACACACACACACACACTGATACTTTAGTATTCTACTGATTGTCGTACGGCATCGACTGACTGACCGACGATATTCTGTCACCCCACCCACGAGGGCGTCATGTGGCACAAGGCCTTTTTAACGTGGAATCTCCGAGCCCGTGGGATCTCCGAGCCCGTGGGATCTCCGAGCCCGTGGGCTCGGCCAAAAATATGTCCATTGAACCCGTATAAACGGGTTCAGAGTCGGTTTACCTCCCCGAAAGAGAATACGCCCTTCGGCGTAACCTCCTTCCGGTTCCTCCTCGCCCAAAGGCAGAGAGTTCAACCAATCAGCCAGTCGACTGACTGACCGACCCCCAGAGCGACTCCTTACTACTTCTACTTATTATAGGTGGGAGAGTCTATCAACTATAGAATAGGTGTGTTCCATTATAACACCATTATATGTATGTAAGAAGATAATGCAATATTCTCGCCTACTATCAGCGTCTTCAAAGGTTGACTGAGCTCATCAATTCCCCTGTATTATTCAGATCAATATAAATCCAGGGATTAAAACATTCTTTTTCGTTTTTTTTCCTCTTCATAAATATCTTATAGTACAAATCTGTTATCTTTATTGAACATACTTTCTGTCATGTTCTTTTCGTTTTGATTTACAGATGAGCCGAAAGCTACGATTGCAGATGATTTTATTCACACGGGCCCTGGCCGGTCGTTATCTGTCATCTGTTCTGTTGAGAGCAGCCCTGATGCAGTCGTTACGTGGACATACGAAGGAATGCCAATCGAAGATTTCCCAGCCAGAATATCTCATATAGTCACTGAACAATTCCCAAAGACCCTCCACGAGTTGAGAATCAATCCAGTCACAGTGGATGACTTGGGTCAATACGAATGCATTGCCAGAAATAAATATGGGGAGGAAAGCGACAGTTTCAATCTTACAGGTAAGTTGCAACGATTAAAATAATTTATAGAAAAGTGTTTAATTAAAAGAATATTTTATTTCTACTTGCGATTAATATCGTGTAATTTACGGGGCTTCAACAAATTTTGTCAAAATCCAGAGAAACAGAGAATTTGAGTCTTTCAGTCAAACAAGGTCGAAATATCGTCCTTCGAAGTCGTATCCCATTCCGACAGCATCTTCACAAGAACAGCTGCTTCGTGAGACAGACTCCCGAGAGGAAACTTCCTAAAAAATACAACTTTTCCTGTCTAAGGTCAACCGTCATCTATCCTACATATCATAATCTACATTTCTTACATCCTTCCGTTATGTCCATAAAGTATCCTAATAGAACAACGCTCTAACTTGACTGGCTCTTGGTTTAAAAATAAGAAAAACAAATTTTCTTCGAGAATAATATTATTGCATGTTTAAGAGGTATCCGGTGTGATAGAAAAATAGTTTGAAATTTAAACAGAATAGAGCAGTCCCTTATACTTTCTATCAGGAAATTAAATAGTTTATGAGTATTTTTAATCATTCACCCCAGGCTTGACGATGATACCACTAAGGCGCTAGTAAGGAAAGTAATTGGGAAAATCTTATTAAGCACAAAGGTCAATAAAAGGATAGAATTTAGGAAGGCACAATATAACGATTAGCGTTGCATTTACATTTTTGAAGGTGATTTTTATTGTAAGTGGCAGAAAAGCAAAGAACCCGGCGAAAACTCCTAGAAAAGAAAATATTAGAAGGGAACTTATGGTTGCATCTCACTAGTCAACAGTAAAACAGTGAAATCTAATTTCCAATCTAGTAGTATTCTAGATTGACCACATAGTCTCGATTAGATTTTAAAAAGGACTGTTTCCGGGCCAGTCAATATTACTTTAATTTGCTCACTAGTAAGGCTTGCAAGTGTGTTCATGCAGCGTTACAGTTTTCGTACGCTTCCTTGGAGTAAGGTCCATCGGAGACAATTGTCGTAGGACAACTAATCAACAGTCGAGACAATAGTGTCTGGGCGATATAAACATCTAATGCAATTACGGGTAACACAATGTTTTTCCAAGGCCAAACAAATTTCATCATACAGCGGAAAACTAGATTCATATTACTGCACACCACTGCAAATTACCTAATCTGAGGAAAAAATAGAAATCAATTACACCCAGTCATTTCAGTGGTTCTAAAACTGACCGTATGGTGAAAGAAAGGAAGCTAAAGCAGTCGTTGCAATTAATTTGCACAATCGTGTATGTATATATACTCTCAATTATCCCTGGTGCTCCGATTAAATGAGTTTAAACGTGCAACTAGATTGGTATCTAGGTCCCACCCGTTTGAAATAGCTAAATGCAACCTCCACTTCTACTCCAATAGTTTCATTCCTCGCACTTCCCACCTGTTTACTTGCTTCTCTGACGACTACAATTTTGAAAAACTTAAATGTCAACTGCCATCTTCTGTCCTCTTGAATCCTGTTCATCCCTTGTCCTTTCCTCAACCTTGTACTTTCTCTTTCCTTTTACGTAAATTCATTGTAAATCCCTGCGTACTAGTGGAATTTCCTATTCGCTTGTGATTAAATTATTAAAAAGAATAAATCTTTCAGATTCAAATATCAATCATCACACCACAATTGTTGTCATTATACAAATTGAACTATAAATCTGTATTTGTAAATCTTGCCAAATCTGTCGATGTCATTATGTTTTGATTGAAAATCACTATTGCGTTGAAGAGAAAGCTTACCCCAAAGCAATTAAAAGAAGGAAATCCTGTATATACGTCTAAAAAAAGTTAAAAATATATATTCTTTATAAAGCCACTAAGCCGCATGGTATTAGTGAGAGTGGAAGAAACTGAGAAAACCTTATTGATGACAAAAACGACAATTTTATACCAGAATTCAGAGATACAATGATGAGTAAAACATTGCATTTAAAGTTTTGAAGAACATAGTTGACATGAGAGCTGGAAGCCGAAGGAGAGTCGCACAAGCGAAAATTGAGATAGAAGAAACTATTAGCATAGAACTTACGGATTATATTTGGAAATTTCAGCATTAAAATGATGATAAGTAGCTTCCAATATCGTACCGCAATTACATTTAAGATCTTGAGCTGCCAAAGAGGAAAAGCCCATCAGAGGAATTACCACGAAATATATATAGGAAAGGCACGTGAAGAAAGTAACAGAAACAGAAACTCCAGGTCATGACTAAAGATATTGCAGATTCTTCTTTGGATTTTTTTTTAAGAATCTGTAGACAACAGATGCCTCGAAATAGATGCGGCAGCAATCAATATCCATTGCATAAAAGAATATTAAACTTTTCAAATTCAAAGACAGATTCTAGTGAGCAAAATTTTCTAAAACCTCATAGTGAACCAGCTTTTCAATGTAATCGTTCAACTCGATGACAATGTAAAACGTTAGACGTACAAGACGTGTGAATTTCTTGCTTGGAGGGTACTGTCAGCCAAGTAGATGAAAGCTACAAAAAAAAATACTGTCAGACGTTTCAAGAACAGTCTTTCGTGAAGATGTGAAAATTAACACTTTATAGGCTGTTTTCGTTGAAGAAAGGGCTTTTGGTATGACGCATATGAAATGGCTAAGACGTTAAGTATAAAGTTTTTTTTTGTGTTTCTTTTTTAAATAACAGCATCAATTCGAATCTGATAAATAATTAGATGTAGAAAGAAATGTATGAAAAGTCTGAGAGGGTTTATTTCTCCCTTCATAATTACCAATTTTCGAAAGTATCGGATGTTTATGATTTTAAAAGCTTAAAAGCTGTAGCATTCATCGAACGGTTCCATAGTTTTGAAAATGATTTATTAGAAATAATTAACAGTATCTCTTTTCATAAACATAAAAATCATTTTCAAAGACATCTCAACTATGTTGTAAAGGACATTGATTCGTCTGACAAAGTTGTTAAATCTAACAAAACAACCAAATTCTATAAACTCCACATTTCATATCAATATCTCTAATTGCTGGCAGACAGAAAAAAATTAAATTGTCTAATTGGAATGTATTTTAGGAATGTTGTTTAGATTAATGGAACGGCCATAAATTAAGACACTTACAACAAAACAAAATCTTCAAAAATGATTAAATTGTTTAAAATGAAATTAAAAATCACAAAGTTTGTCGTAAATGTTGCAAGAGATCGTATTATGAGACTCAGCATGAATCTAACGATCCAGGCATCATTGCTCGTCTGTTTTATTTACATTAGTTTAACAGAAAACGAACGAAATATTGTCACTTAACAAAACAAGTTTCTTACGAACCACTAAAACTACCTGATTTACAAACAGAAACACTCAAGACTATATGTCTAAGTTAAACGATTGAATTAGATTTCTGAATATTCCTTTTCGTCTTTCAATTCCAGCATAACTTCGCCCACCATCTGCATAAATTGGTGTTGAGAAACTTTTGTTATTTGGCATGCATGTAACAGGATACTTACAACAAGCTTCTTTATGGTCATGCCATAATTCTCGATGGAACTGGTGTCAGGTCAATCTCAAGGTCAACACCAAATCCATATTTCACGAAAAAAAAAAAAACAAAAAAAAAAAGCTCAAACCCCCTTCGAGACTCCGAACGAAGCACACACGTATTATCTCATAACAAATAATTCAACCAATCAACTTCATAAAAAAGCAATAATTGTTTATGTTTAGCAAATGTCTTTAGTTTGCAGAACTCGCATCAAAAACGCGAGGAAAATGAGATGAAGTCACGGACACGACTGCCAATGCGGCTGTCAGTCCGGAGCGGAAAAACGTCTATGCACAATAAGGAATGGATTAAAATAAATTTGATATTCATTTAAATTGATAAGATATTGGAGAGAAGTTTGGGCCTAGAAATTTTCTATCGTTCACTTCTACATTCTATCAAATATACTAGGTAAGCTCGTCTGGGAATAAAGACATAAAGCATCATTTTCACATGTGTTTTTATGAAGCATCATTTTCACATGTGTTTTTATCAAATTCAGTAAATATATTTTGATTTCCTGAAATTGAAATGATCATTTATTAAATAAGCCGAAAATATACGCGACGTTTTGTTCAAAGCTGACCCGTGTTAAAATTCGTATGTGAAAATGATCATTAACAACTGATATCTTAATTGAAAATGTGAGAAAAAATGTTGCCCTGTTTAATGAAAATAAACACTGAGCGATCTTTATGAATAAGCTTTAACATTTAATATTTAATATTTTAAATTCCATATTGTGTTAATAGGACTCGCTTGGATGACACCAACGGATGAGTACACACACAGACACAGACACACACACACACACACACACACACACACACATATATATATATATATATATATATATATATATGTGTGTGTGTGTGTGTGCCTGTGTCTGTGTCTGTGTTTGTGTAAACTTGTTTTTGCTCAATAATATTCTTTTTAAGTGTATGTTGTATTTATTCTCAAAACTAATTACTAATTGCTTTAATTTATTTTTCCTACAGCTGTTCCCCACAAAGTGACCATTACTAGTAAAGAAATCAGTTCTTACAGCCAAGCCTACAGGATTAGGTGGAAAGTGAGGTCCATTCCCCAACTTGTGTCCAATAAAATTAAACTAAGACTGGTAAGTATTCTTCGATTCAAAAAAACAAACCGCATCCATCTTTTCAAGACACTTAACAGGATTTTCTAAATATCAAGAAGCCAAGGGTGCTTAACCCGTTATTCATGAATTACAATTTAGTCTTCAATATTTAATGTATTTTTTACGGAAATATACAGAGTTCCTTTTCTGCGTTTTAATACAAAACTCTTACTGATATCTTCCTTAACAAGTCGCTTTTCAAAACGGGTGAATTATTTAGTTTATACGTATGTAAAAGGCAAGCATATATGACAGTTTCTCTCGCTGTTCCGTTTCCTTGTGGTTTTTGTTTTGATTGACTAGCGGGACAGTGAATTGAAACCATTGGATCAAGTCCTGTTCAGAGTGTATTGTTCGCAGAGAATGTCACTCACTGAACATAAAGATGTCAACTGAACATGATATATTTCCGTTAGTATATATTTAAAGTAAGTATAAAACAATTCAATGAATTAGAAAACTATTCTGTAAAAGATATTTTCGTAATAAAAATAAGGAAGAGATAGACATGACCTGTTTATATAACACATGGCATCACAAGAAGTATTTATTCAATTCAAATCTTTATATAGTGAAACTTTTACAGACAGGGAAAATGGAGGAATTCCGAATACATTTGAATCTACATTTAACTCCAAATTACGAACTTGAATTTTTAGACGTTTCCCATATTTTCTGTCTAAACGTCTGCTACTCTTTTGTCATTTTATACATTATCAAACACTTTTAATAATTAAACAACTAGTTTTATTAACCCTATGCAATTTATAATGTATTTCAATATGCCTTGTTACTCAGTCACTATATTAAGTTATTGATAAAATAAAGAACAAATAGAAAAGCTTTATCAATCTAACTTGTTTCACTTTTATTAAAGCTTCATCAGAAATTCTGTATTTTTACTTTTGTGATTTTTTCATTGTGGTTGGTTTCCGAATTCAATAAATGACGAATCGTCCCTTTGAATTCGAAGAAATCAACTGATTTTAAGCCTAACCGTAAATTCCGTATACCGTATATATTGCTTTATTCAAGTTTGTATGTGTGATGATAATGTATATTCGTGTGTGTGTGTGTGTCTCTGTGTATTTAGTAGCCATTATATCTGCTAGTTTTTCTAATGTTGATTCGCGAACATTTTTATATGCATGCAGTTTGTTTTAGATAAGCATAAGTTAGATTCTTTAAAAAAGGATAATAATTGGCCCATTTTATTTTCGATTAGAATAAAATTAACGTTTTAAAAGTAAAATGTGAAAATATAAAGTTATTTTTCGTTCGTTTATCGTTAAAAATCTCTCCATAATGGGTACGTGACGCACATTAGCTTTTTTGTAAAATATTCTAATGACAATTAAAATTTTCAAAATAAATAGGATTTTACGCTTTTATTAATTCAAATACTCTTTTATCATAAATAATATCTGTCTATATCTCTGAGATGAGGTATTATGATTACTTGCATTATTTACATTATTCAGACTGTTATGTTCGTCTTCATTGTCATATTCACAACGTTTCGGCCGTTGTACGCTCCGGCCTTTATGTCTATGTCTCTCTACATATCTGTCTATATCTCTGAGATGAGGTATTATGATTACTTGCATTATTTACATTATTCGGAATGTTATCCTCATCTTCATTGCCATATTAACAACGCTACGGCCGTTGTACACACCGGATTTTATGTCTATGTCTCTCTATATATCTGTCTATATCTCTGAGATGAGGTATTATGATTACTTGAAATATTTACATTATTCAAACTGTTATGCTCGTCTTCATTGCCACATTCACAACGTTTCGGCCGTTGTACGCTCCGGTTTTCTTCAGGTTATTGGAATTTCGAACTGAACCCTTTATTTCATCTCCCGGGATAGATTGTTCTAGTTCCACGTGTCATGCCTCCCCACGGATGTCTCAGTTATTTGCCTTTAACTCAACTCTCCAAATATGGTTCAACACTGCTGAAGCTTGTTATTGAACTCACAACTTTTTGGGTCTTGTCACTGAATCTCACCAACGTCTTTATTCACTGGGCCATATGTCCTTGAGGACATTTTACCTGGTGGACGAGATAAAGTGTTCGGTTTCGCTTGGTTTGGTTTGTTTTACGGTATATCAACCTCAGTGTGTCATTTAATTCCGACAACCGGTAATATTTTTGTTTTGTCAAAAATATATTTTTGGTAAGATTTTTTTCCTCAAAAATGTATAGCTGGTAATATAATTTCAAAAAATGTATTGCTGGTAATATTTTTTTTTTCAAAAAACGTATTGCTGCTAATAGATTTTTTTTTTTTCAAAAATTTATTTCTGGTAATAATTTTGTTTACAAAGTATTTCTGCTATTAAAACCTATTTTTACACTTTTATAATGTCTTTTACCTCAGTTTCTGGGTTAACTATTTGCCCATAGCTTGGACCCTAACAGGTGCTACCACCCCGGGTCAGGGTGGACCTGGGAACACCAGCAATTAAGAAGTGGTTCCACGCTCCTCAAAGCCTCCTGATCAGAGGCCTTGCTGTTGGACGTAGTTTATCATCTTACCCTGCAGGCGGATGTAGTTTATCGTCATACCCAAGACGGATAAAGGTTCAAAATTCCAATCACCTGAAGAAGGCCGGAGCGTACAACGGCGGAAACTTTGTGAATATGGCAATGAAGTTGAGGATACCAGTCCGAATAATGTAAATAATGCAAATAATCATAAAGAATATTTTGTAATTTACGCCAACTCAGCCTGAGATAAACAATCCAAATATTTAGCATTGACACGGAAGTCACCTTGTCAGCGAGATGACTTTCTTTATGTTAACCTTACAATAATAAGCGCCTTTCATGTCCTGAACGTACTAATTATTTCGCTGTGAGAGATTAGTTAATTACATATATTATTGATCTGCTTAGAACCGCGCTTGATTTTTGTGAGACGTCATATCGATGAAATATTTCAAAAGTCGCTCCAGGACAATGATTGCTGTCATCATTATCTAGAATTGTCTTTAATCAATATCCAACTCAATAACAGAATAAGACACAATGAAGACGTCTGTTTAAATGCATTTTCCACCCGTATGAATTATTTCGAAACAGCTGAGTTGAAGTTGAAAGACTTTATTGAATCTATTGCTAGGTCAGCTGCTAAGAAATTAGGTTCACTATGTGTTGCCAGACAATGTTTGCCTCCAGAATCTATATTACATATCTATGAATCTACCATTCCTCCATGCTTAAAATATTGCTGTCACATAGGGTCCGATGCTCCTGCTAGTTATCTAGAACTCTTTCATAAATTCCAAAGAATCAGCAATATTATCAGTCCTGATCTGCCAGATCAGCTTCAGTCATTTTCCTAACGCCATAATGTTGCTTATCTGTTTCTTTCCTATAAATACCTTCTGCTAATTGTTCAGATGTGCTCCTTCCTATCGTACCTAGACTTTTTGAATTTAATCGAAGCACTTGACTGGCGTCGGGATCTCATTAATCTATCAGGTCATCCTATAAGTTCTGTCCGAATTTTACCTTTTTTTTAAAATGAACAAAATTTAAAGAGTATTTTATAAAGTCTAATGGAGCTGAACATTGTTTTTATGTTTAGATGCATTTAAACTGATCAAATTTTATTTTAGAGAACAATAAAATTAAATTCTGTTTGATTAAAACCCTTCTAACATGGAAGTACCCAAGAATCATTTGAGCCACATAAGGAAAATCAGCAGCCGAAGCGACTAGAAACATTCACTCAGTTTATGGAGAGGAATGTGTGAATGAAAGAACTTCCAGAAGATGGTTTGCAAAATTCAGAAGTAGAGATTTCACACTTGAAGATGAAAATCGTCCAGTTGAGTTTGATATAAACTTCTTGAATCAGCCCTTGGAGAAAATCCTGCTTTATCAGTTGAGGAATTGGCAATGGTTCTCAGTTCAAACCATACAACTGTTCATCTTCATCTTCAACAACTTGGAAAAGTTCCTAAACTTGGAAAATGGGTGCCTCATGAATTGTCTGAAAACAACTTCAAATCCCGAGTTGACACCTGCTCTTCTCTCCATTCTCGCCAACTTGTTTCACCTTTTTTGGATAGACTTGTGACTGGCGACGAAAAATGGATCTTTTATCGAAATGTTAAGCCTCATAGACAGTAGCTTGGTAAAGGAGAAGGACCCCAGCCACAGCCGAGAAGGGAACTTCATGGCAAAATGTTCTTCTTTCAATCTGGTAGAATCACCAAAGAATAATCCACTTTGAATTCTTACCACCTAATGCAACAATTAATGCTCAAATATACTGACAGTAATTAGAGCGTTTGAACCAAGCTTTGAGGAAAAAAAGACCTGCTCTAGTGAATCGAAAAGAGGTGATGTTTCATCAGGACAATGCGCGACCACACACAGAAAGAATCAGGTCACAAAAGATCGAAGAACTTGGTTGGGAGAAAATTCCTCATCCACCTTATTCTCCCGATCTTGCTCCTTCAGACTATCATTTGTTTCGTAGCTTACAGAATCATTTGGAAGAAACAGGTTTTGTAACACAGGAAGAGGTTAAAATTGATATTTGTGAGTTCTTCGAATCAAAGCCAAAAGAATTTTCCAGTAATGGAATTAGTAAGCGTGTTAATAGATGGAAGGAAGTCATAGATAATCAGGGAAAATACATTGTTGATTGAATCTCTCATTAAATGTAACATTTGGTCACTTGTTTTCTTTATTCAAAATTCGGACAGAATTTATGGGATAACCTAATATATTTGAGCTGGCTAGATGTAACCGTAAGTTCTATGCTAACAGTTTCTTTGCTCGCTTGTGAAATTCTCTTCCCGCTACATCCTTTCCAGTCAACTTTCATCTGCAAGATTTTAAATGCAATATCAATCGTTATCTAATGTCCTCCGAATTACTCTTTCATCTTTCTGC